CATTTTTCAGAATATCGTATTTACTAGATGTAATATAGCCCATCATTTCAAAATGCCAAGAGCTTTCTCATAAATTAACATTTTCTTTGGGGTGATGAAAAGCAAGACCTAAAACAGAGACTTTCATATCTGCACCTAGAGAATAAATATGGTTGGCTTGCTTGACTCTAGCTAAGATTAGAGCAGAGCTTAAATATTCTATTTCAGGTTTTATTTTTTATTTAAAAAAATCAAAATAGAATACAACTAAAAATTATACTCTGCATTTCCTCTTATAATAGCCAAAATTTTCTTTCCATTCTCAAATGCAATAATGCTTATTATACTTCTTATTGACATAAGGACTTTTGAATTGAAATCAGATTCAACACAATATCACATGAATTTCAGCATATTGTACATTACATTTGATGTCATCATATCTGTCAAGAGAAAAAATAAATAAAATTTTTAATTCTTCTTTTTTTTAAATCGCAGCATTGTACCCTCATATATATGTCTACTTTAATTTCTGAGACTGATCAAATAAAAATGTCCTGTTCTATCAGTTTTCTATTATTAAATTTCAGTGAGAGAATTTTCGCAAATTAAAATGGATCCAACTTATGTGACATAAACTTGCAGCAGTTTTCAAACCTTTTGATAAAAGCGATATTAAAAAAAAGGGGGGGGAGACATTTTAAACTTAAAAGCCCATACAGAACATGTTCATCGTAATATCTCGACATAAACTATTTTTCCCACAGATATAATGATATCTATTAAAATTATTTGCGAGTTTGGAAACTGATAATTCCGGCAGGCAAACAGCTGGAACTTTTCAAACAGGTTGCCCCTTGCGACACTACAAATAACAAGAAAATGCCATTCAGTTCTAGAGATTCATAGAATTCGCATCTGAATTCGTATTCAAAAAATGGGGATGAATTCCGGGAGCAGTGGGGGTAACAGCTCTTATTATCGTTTCCATGGGAACGAATAACCCCAAATGTGTCTCGTAAGTTATCACTGAAGCGTAAATTTATGAGATATTTCCTAATGAAATGGAGTTAGTTCATGAAATATGTAGTGCACCTGTTTAGGAAATTACTAAGCTTGCAAAACTCCTTCAAAGCATTCTGGTAGCCCAGCTCCAGAATGTTATTAAAGAGGTTTGCGTAATACTGACCTTCCATTCATATTTTGCAGGGATTTTTGACGCTATGCGGATACCTAAACATTTTGTCTTTTGCTATTAACGCGTAAAAGTCCGAAAAAGGTATCTTTTTCCTGTTTCCTCCTAGAAAATGTAAAGAAATCATTAGTTATTAAGCTCTTTCTCAAAGACAAGTAACTTCTAAAAATCCGTAATAAATTCTTTCATTCCTTCCATTCCTTTTAAGCGCATTTAGTGTGTTTTCTAAAGCTAGGTAAAAATGATGATAATACCTTAAAATAAAGGGAGAACTATTTGTCTTTAAATATGGCGACCTGACAACGATGTCTTCAACTTTTTGCGAAGGAACTACTGTGAGTATGGCTTATGTTGACAAGTCAGAAAAGAACTTTGGATTGAGCAATATTTAATACATTAGTCACACTAAAAGCCTACTTATAATAATGATGCACAAGCATAAAAGTGCTGGCACCACGATGAAGGTCGCTGAATCCAAATAAGACAAAGATCATCATCAGGTGGATGGCACCGCCTTCAAGTAAGACTAGATTAAAAGAGTTATAACATTCAAAATGGTACACGGTAGCTGTCCTATTCTATCAGATTTTTAAAATATCTGAATTCATGCCTATAATCTAGCATATTGGAGGCAATCGTACACAGAAATTATTATAATTCCATATTTTTCCCCTTAGTCTAAATAATGATTAATGTAGATGTCTAAATAATGATTGATATAGATGTATTTCCAAACCTGTAAAATAAAAGTTACAAAAAAAGGGGGAGAAAACCAAATGAACATATATAAAGTGATTACGTAAGAATATTAGTATTTTCTATAATTGTTTCATTTCGTTTGAACTGCGTTTATTTCTAAACCCTTACAATACATTTCTAACGATGCAATATGCCTTAAGCTACCATAAAATTTACAGTAGTAAACATAATACTACAGTAACTTATTCGAAGACAAAAAAACCCCACAGAAATGGAATTTTGGAAACATAGAATAAATAAAACTTTTGAAATAAATAACATACCAAATCGTGTTGATATTTACTTCACTGACATACGGCTATTGGTAATTTTTGCTATGGGACTTTGGTAAGAGATCTTCATCGTTCTTTATCTTGGTCCATGCATAAGAGAAATGGCGATTTCAAACCTGCAGTATTTTTCTTCTAAGCATTCCTCCGCTTCTTAAAGAAGCAGTATGTGTGGCGCCGCCTTCTACTAGTCATTTGTCTTCTTACGAAAAATAAAGTTGCACTAAAATTTATGAGTCGGTTAAACGGATGGGTAATGATTTTTTTTGTATTGTTTTGTTTCATGTTCAAGTTTAAGCACTAAAGCAGAATTATTACTTTTAAACTTTAATTTTTATGATGCAAGCATTCACTAATAAATAAATAAATTAATTGTTTATGCCTTTACTTGTTATTATTAAGGTATGAAGTGTTTTCAACGTGCCATTCATCAGGAACGTCAAAAATGAGTAGATCAGAATAATGACGTATTGAGTTTTATGGATAAAATTTTAAGGCTGTATTATCATAAAATTTTTTCTTATATTAATAAATAAAATTTTTACATTTTGAAACTGTATCTCAAACATTAAACGGTTTATAATATTTTGTAAACATTATTTGATTTCAAAAATTGCAGCAGCTAACCTTGCAATATTCGGAAACTAAGCAATCTGCAAAAGAATTTCTGATTTGACTGGAAACATTCATATTTGTAATAATTTATTCCCTATTTGAAGTAATTACTGCAAAAAGTATTTTTTCCAAATCTTAAATGATTTAGAATAATACATAATTCAGTACGCTTAAAATCAACAACATGCGCAAGAATAAGTACAAAGTTATAAGCATAAAATATAAAAGTATACAATTAAAGGTAATCAGTAGCCACACGTGATGGTGGTGTGGCTACTGATAACAAAAAATAAGAATGTAAAATGCACATTAATTTAAGATAGCTAACGACTGACTCTTAGGTTAACTAACGCTAAATCTGCTGCACGCAGAAGCCGAGCCCAGAAGTATCAACATAAACTGAAAGGTGTCGAACACCAACTACAGAGCTAGTTTCAAACCCGCAGCATAAACATCGGAACTAAGTCCGTTACTACTCTTTTCGAACTCTTGAAACGCAGCTTAAATTCTGCTTCTGAAACACGATTAAATTTGAATACTATGTCACAGAAAATTTACATTCCGGCAGGAATCTGAAATCAAGAAGGAAAGGAAAGAATAAAAACAATTGTTTAGAATAAAGCAAATTCTTACAAGCACAATTTGAGGTTTTCTACTGGTGAAATATTGTGGCTAAATTTGAAAATCCTGAGTAATTAGATCGCAGATGGAAATTAAAGTCATTAGTAGTGATTAAGAATCGTTGTTACAAAAACCAAAATTTAAAACAGCATGGATAGTTCTCATTATAAAATATAATTGATAAGAGGCAAAAATGATGACATAATCAATTCATAGCGTTGGGTAGGGACAGGTACCGCATTACTGCAAAAGAATTACGAATTTATTTATATTTTGATTTATGACTGTGAGTTCATTTGATTCTTATAGGCAATCTTTTCCTTTTAGTTTATACAAATCTAGCAAAAGAAGTTATTTACACGCTATTTACTAAGAAAATGCTTAAATTATTCGAAATATGTACGTTACATTTTAGAATGTGCAACCACTCATGTAAAATCAAGATGTCTGCTAATCAAGGTACATTGCTAGTATTAATTTTATCGATATAGAACTCGAATAAATTTGAATTCGTTCCGTGCCACTATTTCTGATTTCTAAAATATGGGGGGGGGGAATGGAATGTAAAAAATATATTCGGACAAACAGCCAGCTGAAAATCATTATTTGATTTCTTTTCTCTTAAACAGATGTTAACTCTGCTAATAATAAATTTTGTTGTGCTGAAATGGAATGCTAGCGTAACGAAATATATTGAACAAATACATGCAAAGAAATACTTCGAAAATTAATAAAACTAAACTAGCAAAATTAAAAACATATCATTTATCAAGTAGACGTTTTGAAACTTCCGGTCTGAGCACGCACGAAATTCATGAATATTCGTATCTATTGTCAAATCAGACGTATGAAAATGGAACACTATCTACAACAAAGTCTGTATATCACTATGATTAACGCATTATTTACTGCAAATTCTTTTTTCGTTTAATTTAAAATAGGCCTTTATTTTCAGTTCTAACATCAAAACTTTGTTTGAAAGCTTATGTCTCACCTCAAATTGAATTTTGAAATTAATCAATTTCTTAAGAAATTTTAGGAAACATTATAAGATTTACTCATAACAGTCATCGACATCTACAAATTTTTTATCGATGCATGTGCGAATTCACATCATAAAAACCAAATTAAGAATAATTTCTTTTAATTGGATAATATTAGGTTTGATACATAAGTCGTCCTTTTTTTTTTTTTTTTTTTTTGTTTGAAAGATAAATGACTTTTTATCATAAAAGTTGGTAATGTTAGAGATCCATTACTAAGGTTATAAGTTACCAGGAGGAGGATAGGGACACTAATTTAAATACCGTTCAAAGTCATAAGAATATTGTAAGAAATAATTATTTCAAAGAATAACTAGAAAATTGTGGTGTAATTATCATCAGTAAACAAAAATTTAGGTTATTCAAAGACACATGACAAAAGATATTTCTAAAAAGGTGCTAATGTTTGGCAATCGCATTAATTAATTCCTGGCTTTGAATAGCTTGAAATCATTAACCTAAAGATAAGTCGATCGCGGGTTTCACTGAGCAAATGGATCAGACACGAGAAATACAGACCTGTTATTATTATCAGAAAACTAGTTCGAAAAGCTAGATAACAGTTCTTTCCAAAGATCGATGGCTCATCGCAACAGACAGTCCATTGCCATGCAGCTACTACTGGAGCTTTTGCATTAAGGACATAACTGTATACAGATAAGTTCATGAGAAAGACTTTAACAGCTGGGATTTGTGTTCCTCTAATAAGTCGAGTCCAGGACGCCTATTCTACGATGGCTGGAAACGTCAACAACTTGAGCGAACAATATTGACTCAAAAAAAAAAAAAAAAAAAAAAAAAAAAAATCAGTATGGACAGCTAACACAACTTATCGGCCATTCTGTGGTTCTCAGTTGGAGGGCGGGTGGGTCCATTTGACTTTACTGAAAGGGGACAAGGCTTCAAAAAGCTTTAGACCAATCGCAGTACAGACGAGTGACAAAATTTATAGCGCGCGCTGGCTGAAGTTCTAGGAATATTCTCTCATTATTTCACTAACTCACACGCTGTATTTGTAGTTCTAAAAAAATAGCCCAAAACAATATTATAACCAACACGCAGCAGAATATGCTGCTTTGTGATGTGAAGGAAAATCCCGTTTTTTAAGGGGGAAGTTAACGCAGGAATTTAGAGCTAAGAAATAAAGAGAGATATTAGATACCATGAAAGCAACGGTAAACAGATAAGAGTAAATGAATTAAGCTTACTTCAAATTTTTTTAGAATTAAACAATTTTAATCATTTAAATTTATAATATGATTAATTTGCATTACAAACTAATAGCGAACTAAGTTTTTTTTATTTTATTATATTATTATAATTTTTTTTTCATGCTTACATTAAAACTGTGTTTTCACTCAATTTATTTTACAGTTAAAATTAGAAGAATATTTCTTTAAGTAAGAAATTAAAAAGAAAATATTTCTTTCTTAATGTTTCTTCCTTTTTTACTTCCTTGTGCGAAGTAGAAAGGAAGTATTGTAATCGCGAAAAGTTTCAGGCAGCATATTTCAACGAAAATATCCATTTTGAAAGCTATCGAATGCAATTTAACGATGTTTTTGCGTGATATCTGTACGTAAGAACAGAATAAAAGACTCGTTTCCTCCAAAAAAATTATAAAACTGCTTTAAAATTAATTCTGAAGAGATTTTTTCGTGACGTCTGTACGAACGTATCTACGTACGTGCGTACTTACGTACCTTGCATAACTCAAAAATGAGTAGCCTCAGAACGTTGAAATTTTGTATATAGGACTGCTATAACATAGAGATGTGCACCTCGTATTTTGGTAGTAATCGGCCGCACCAAACGTATATAAATATATTTATATATATATCCACTCTGTTACCCGGCTCAGTGATCTCAGTTCTTTACTCTTATATGTTTGTAAATTGTACATTTTTTGCTTTAAAAATGATTGAATTATGTTGTTTTTATCTTCCGGTTAAGGTTTTTATGCCTTTAGTAAATCTGTATGCAATATTTTTAGAATTATCAACAATTTTAAAGTTGTTTAAGTGCCGCTAAGCCTTTTTTTTATGGCGGCCATTGATTGTTTACATTTGAAACAGCAGACTAGTGGATTTATTGCCAATCTAGAGAAACTTAGCTTCGCAACAACAAAGATAACGCCTTCATTTATTATTGCCAATTAAATCATGCTTAATCCTTTCTGGAATTTTTTCGAGGAAATAAGTGTTTAAGATTTACTTCGTAATTTTTAATATAGACATTTTGAGTTTTTATGTATTTTTGCCTTCTCGCGAAGTGAGAACTGAATTAATTGAATGAGAAATACTCAATCGTCTGTGAAAAACTGTTTCTTTTTTGCTTTGTTTGTTTAATTTCTTTTATACATCATTCTAGCTTTATTATAGTGTTTGAATAGAACATGTGGCAAAGATTAGATAATTCTATTCTTTAAATGATATAAATTTTGTGCATTATGAGTTATAATATGAACGAAATATAATACTGTTAAGTGAATCTAGCGCCAGAGTGTCGCTATGGTAAACAAATACTAGAGTGAATTTTAAAGAATGCATTTATTCTATTGTGGTTTATGCGCTGTCGGCGAAGTAGATTTAATTCAATCCAATAAGTTTAAATGAAATGCAAGAAAAATGCGTATAATTTAATATTCCGTACAAGGAAGTCATGTGGTGTACACATCAGATTTTTTTTTAATTTTCTGTTTCTATGAAAATGATTTCTTTCAGGAAAAGAAATAAAATTCATTTGTTATTAAAGCATGGCCGATTGCTGCTGCATCCAACTATCACACATGCATCAAAATGTTTTATTTTACATAATTTATTCTATAATCATCAGGAAAAAAAAATAATTTTTCAACATATAATATATAACCAAAATTATACTAATCTGTTCTGCATGTGTGATAAATTCGTATTGCAATTTTTTGTCACATATATTAGTAATATTTTTTAAATATTACATTGCTGTTATTTTAATTTCTTATATATATATAACAACTGCGTATTTTAGATATTCTTACTTCTCAAAAGATTTTAATTCTGTGAAAATAAAATAATTAAAAGATAGTAATATTATTTTTACAATGGAAATACTAAGTAAAAATAATCAATGTAGGTCTCCTGCAGTTGAAGAAGTCCTTGTCAAACCAACGTTTTGACACATTAAATAGAAAACTAATAATAATCAATGTCTCTTTTACAATATAAAAATGAGAACTCTGCTATGAACAGTTTTTTTTTTTTTTTTTTTTTTTTTTTTTTTAAGTTTGCAAAGGAAGCAATGATTTTTGTAATACTAATAGATTACAAAAGTACTATTTCATGAACAAACCCTCAGTCTTATAGCATTGTTACTTTCTAGCATAATATAATAATAAAGCACTATAATTCTGCTAATAATCCCACCAGCGGCCGAGCGGTAGAGTCGCTGAACGCAGGTAGTTCGTTTCGAGGTTCGAATTCCGCGAACAAGCTGGCCGCATCGGCGTTTTACTTGCTTTCCCCATGTGTAACGTGTATACGAGGCAGTTTCCCTCAGAAAGTCCACCCTTAGAAACCACTTAGAAAATAGTTTTAATTCGTAATAAAATTACACGCACAAAGAAAAAAATTTTGAAAGCTTTCAGATTTTATATTACGCTCAAAGGGCAGTTTCTTTTTTAACGTTTTGCGTGTTACCTTTATTTATTAAATATCATGTTCTTCGCACTTAAACCACAAAATTCAATTCGACAGCAATGTCATAATTTAAAAGAAGCATATCTTTAGAATTTCCGATACACAGTCTCACGCTCTCTAGATGAAAATGTTTTTTTTTTTTTTTTTAATTTTATTTTCCTTTCCCGTACAATGTTACCATTGCTCGTTTTGAAATCGTTGAGTTTCTTAATCAAAAACTAATAAATGCTTTACAAAATATGAAATAGATAATAAAACAAATTCCCAGTTTAAAATTTGGGCCTCCAGATGCCAATGTTAGGGTGAAGGATTACGTTATTCAAAATTTGATGGTTGTAGGTATCGTTGTTTTATCACAGTGCGAGAAACATTCATACATTTATTTATGCAGATTCTTCATTATTTAATTTCTTTAAATATAATAAAGTGCGATAATATATGATGGCAACAATTTGAAGAGTGAAACGCCATTTATCGTAAAACGCCGCAAAATGGCAAAACGAAATTAATAGCCCTTCTGAGCTAAGACCCTTTGAGCTAAAAATTATTTTTAAAAGTATCACATTAGTAGTAGTACGACTACTGAAAAAATATTATAAAGTCTATTTTATAGTTTTATTATTACTTTTTTTTTTCCATTTTTATTTTACATTAGGGTGAATTTCGAGTAATAATGAACGACATTCCTTATTGTGTTCACAGTATTGTTCGTAAGGTATTCCACTGTTGTATTTTAAAATAAACTTAATTCTTGTTGCACATAAATCGAGTAGACGCTTCTCGGATATCCATATTTGTATTAATTGAAGAAGGATTATGTGCTAGATAAATACTTACTATCTTCTATATTTTTAAACTATATAATTTCTATATATATCTATAATTTCAGGAAAAATATGAATGACCTTCCTTTCAGTAGAAATTGCGTTCTTGTTTTCCAAATGTGGCTCCAAATACTCTCTCAATTCATCGCAAATTAAAATAACTATAAATTTTGGCAATCTAAAATATGCAATGAAAACATCTTCTGGCAGAGCAAAAGCATCAACATATTTTCTATAAATTTGCCACCGATTCAGAGATCTACGACACCGTATTCTTCGTTTAAATAGGAAAAACTTAGGGGTGAAAACACATACAAAGCCATTGTCTACTTAGAACGTCAACTGGACAAGCCTGATTGACGACGGGGCAACACTTCCTCGCGCTTCCGACATGGAGGTAGGAAGTAACGACTTCCGTACTCAGAGAATATGGGATGTCGGGGAGACCTGTTTTTCACTAGCAGCGACATCTGGCGGCCCACAAACTGGTGTCGACTCTCGGAGCGTAGAATAGGCGTCCAGATTCTCGGTTGGTTATATCTTTTAACAAAACTATATACGCTAACGTTATGAAACGTGATTATTACACTTTTGGAGATATGTCATGTCTATAGCAGGCACACTGCCAAGTGATATCAAGTCTTAACAGCTTCGCATTAGGCTCCTGAGAGGTGCATTTGGCTTCGCTTTTGTTGTAGTGTAATAATGGCCAAACTGACCAAGGCCCACGAAATCATAAAGGTTCCCATCACAGGAGCAAATTTATATGTTTTCTATATTTCGGTATTAAAAATGCACAAATTACCAATTATAGCCTTTTTCGGATGTCAATCATTACACATTTATTTATAATTTGTAATAATACAATATTTTGCTTTGCGATTTGGCAAATCGTTTAATGTAAACAACAGCGCGTTTTTCAAAATTCTATTAGTATTCTCAAGTGTACTTTCCATTTCTTATGTTCTAACCCTGAGAATTTTTGATAATGTCCCACTCTGCTGACTGTTTGAACCTAAGATTGTCTCACGCTCTAATTCTCTAATTCCTTCTCTCATTTTTTCAGTACTTGGCTGTAAATTTTATATTACATTTTAAATGCTTTTTTCTGAGTAATTCCTGATTATGGCGATATACGCTGAAGTTCTGTTTCCTATGTAGCCAAATTCTATATAGTTTAA